GCTTGTGCTTCTCAGGAAGGAACAGACACCTTGGGAGTCTGCTCAGGACCTGCCACGGGAGTCAGCCCCGCCCACTGCCTGAAAGCCTCCGCCCACACCTGGCAACACCAACACATACTCACCCAGGCAAGATGCGCAGTGGGCTCTGGGCTCAGGAAGACCTGGCCCCACCATTCACTGGCTGTGTGGCTCTGGGAAGATCACTTTGCTTCTCTGTGCCTCAGTTTCCTCATCTGTAAAGTAAAATAAGAATGGTCATATCAGCCAGAGTTCAGTGCTGGAAATAGGAACCAGTTGAGGTATTTTGAGCAGAAAGTGATTTGATACAGGGGATTATGGCTGGATGGCTGGATCGGGGAGGGGAGGAGGAAGGGCTGAGTCTCCAGAGGATCTGCTCCCTCGGCCTGGGCAGGAGAGGAAGGTGGGCAACTGGAGGTTGCCACTGGCACCCCTGGGTTCAGGACACACTGACATGGCTGTGATCCAGGGAGCAGGCAGGGCCTCTGCTGCTGCTGTGGGGGGTGGGGACCACACACCGGACACCACTGCAGGAAAAGATGCACATCTATCTGACCCTGCTGGCCAGAAGGGAGCAGCCAAAGCAGCAGGAAGGCAGCCTCTGGCTCCCTTCCACCTTCCAAACCCCATGTGAGGGTCTTCATGTTGGATCACAATATGAACCCTCTACTCCCAAAGGAGTTGGTCTGGGAGGTGAGGCTTTAGCTTCCTGCCTCCCAAGGGCAGCAGACAGGTGGGAACAGATCCTGGGTGCTACTCAGCCACCGGAGGATTAACTGCATGTATGACTAGAGGGACCCTCCCCAGTCTGGCACACAGCACATGCCAAACAAAGGTGGGCTCCGGCCAACACTGGTTATGGCTGCACGCCTGCCACGTGCCAGCACTGGGCCAGGTCCCGGGAGACCTGAAGAAGTGAGCCGGCTCCAGGGGGAGCAAAAACTGGGATCGCAAAGGCAAGCGTCAATGTTGTAAAAGCCTGGGGAGCACAGGGAGCTGGGGGGGGGGCACCCAGGCCAGTCTTGGGGGTGAAGAGGGGAGGGAGGAAAGCGCCAGTTTCCCAGTACTACTGGTGTCTAACGTGAGGCCTAAAGAAGAACTAGAAATTAACCAGACTAAGCAGGAGGAAACAAGGTGTGTGTGCACGTGTGTCTATGAGACAATGCTAATTTCCACCCTGAAAGCATATACACATAGAAAACCCTCGAAGATAAAGGGTGCTTGGCATTTTCCACGAGAGGACAGTTCAGTCTGACCAGTGCACAGAGTGGTGGGTGGGGGTAGTGAGTAAGAAATGAAAGAGAGGAGAGCAGGAGCATGGAGATCTCATGGGGCTTTACATGTCATTTTTAAAATAATTTGAATTTTATCCTGTGGGCAATGGGGATGCATGGTAGAGTTCAAGCAGGGAGAACGCTCACCATTTTGGTCTCAGTAATATCACTTTAATGTGGTTTGTGCAGTCGGTTGGAAGTGAGAAGGATTTCAAATACAATACTGCAGTGCTGGACTGGAAATATGGTTGCTGGGAGGAAGACAAGGGAAAAGGTAGAGCCGGTTCAAGGGAGTCTAGGAGGAGGCAGAGTGAACAGAGAGGAGTAGGAGCAGGGAGGAACCTGGGGTGGCTGCCAGGTTTCAAAGCAGGCACACCCGGAAAGGTGGGGCCCCATCAGCTCCTAGCACTTGGCCCTGGGTGGTGCCCACCCACAGGCTCCCCACCTCGAATTCTGGACTGAATTCACATGAAGTTCCTTCCCTCCCATCAACCTTATGGCCTGCACACAATTCAGTTCCAGCAATATTTATTGATATTTATTTATTCATTATTATTAAGCTACTATGTGCCAGGAACCAGGGAGGCTTCCCTCTGCCTCACCTAAGGGAGTTTCAACTGGATGCCTGAGAGGTTCTGGAGCAGGGAGGGATATGCAGGGAGAAGGGAAAGGCTGTGCACACATAGCCCGAGTTTAGGCCTCTCTCTTCCCCCAGCACTGGAGTAGCTTGACCCCTGATCTCTCATCCCCATGACAGAAAAGGTACAAGGGACATCAGCACAGCCTCAGTCAGAGCCCCTGGGCCCCCGCTTCTATTGGGGCAGACAATAGAGACAGGCAGCCACCCCTGGCCTCCTTCTGTGTGCCTTCTGCTGTGAGATCCCAGATGCAATGAGAGGCTCACCTGGGCCTTGCTGCCTGCCATCCCATGGACTCAGCCCTTACAATCAAGGAAGTTTTCCAGAGGCTCTCCTCAACTGAGACATTAACCCCGTTACTGTCTGGGTAACACAATAACTTCTTACCGATTCACTATCACAGGGCAGAAGCTCAGGCCAATTATAGGACTGCTTTTGTCACAGCCCGCGAGAGAGGCCTGGAGCCATCCCACATGGGTCTAGGCATTGGAGAATAATGATAGCGTTACTGAACCAAATTTGGGTCTTGTCGACTGAAATAAATGCAGTCTAAAAGTTGAGAATTATGTTTTATTTGCTGGACGATTCTGAGGACTCGAGCCCTGGATGACAGCCTCTCAGATCACTCTGAGGGACTGCTCGGAAGAGGTAGGGGAGGAGCTAGGATATATAGGAGTTTTACAATAAAGACCAAGCAGTTGGAACATTAAAAGGTTACTTGTTAAGTAAAGAAAACCACACAACTCAAGTTAAAGAATTTAGTGCTTTTCTGTGTATGGGAGGGAGCAAACATTTGGGCTCAATGAATTCGTTCCTCTGACAAGCACCTAGCCATCTAGGGCCAGTATCCTGGCCTTTGTTATTCTGAGTGCCCTCAGAGTGCACCATTGTGAATGGCTGCAGAGGCTGGGCTGCAGGCTTGTCTTCACTGGGGGGTGGCGGGCAGCCGCTGATGACTTGATGGCTTCAGCATTCTTTGCTTATTGTTATGGCTTGCAGTATTTTTCGTTGTCTGCTCACCCAACACTCAGCAAAGCCAAATTACTGACAGTGGGTTGTGGTAAAGGAAAGCACAGCGCTTACTGCAGCTGTGACCCAGCGAGGACAGGCGGCTCATGCTCAAAGGACCCTCACTGCCAGGTGGCTTTCAGGGAAGGGTCTTTAAAGGTAACATCTGAGATGAGGGTTGCGGGGTGCATGACCTTCCTGTTTGGTTGGCAGTGAGGTAACAGGGTGATATGTCAGGAATCTTAATCACAACCTTCTGGTTCTAACCGGTCTGGGATCCAGCAGTTGTGCCTGACATCCACCTGGGTGTGAGTCTTAGTTCTCGTAGGACAACTCAAAGATACATGTCAGATTGTTATGTATTTCCCTAGGACTTTTTATAGCGTTTCATAGTTTTTATAGCTTAACTATTGTTTCTTGCCTGTTTTTCCTTTGTTTCTGCATTCCCTTACTTCCCTAACTAGTAACTGCTTGAATCTGTTCTTTGGAACTCAAACCTAGGAGACTAAAGCCTTGAAGGCAGGGGCGAGGCAGGGGACACAGAAAGGCTTTTTGTACCTGGGAGGTCCCTGCAGGGTCCTGCTAAGTTTCAATTCCCCCTTTTCTTTGATACTCCTCAGTCCTGAGGTGAACAGGTACAAGACAAGAAAGGGAATAAAGTTTTAGATAGAGAGTTTAATCATAAACTTGGCAGAGGAACTCAGTTTTAGGGGGAGTCAGTTTCAATAGTAACAGCATTTACTATTGATTGAGCATTCTACATTCCCAATTTCTAAATCTTCATAATTCTGCAAGGTAATTATTATTCTCATTTTGCAAATGATGAAACTGAGGTTCACTTAGGTTAAGCAATGTATACATTTAAATGGATACTAGGTGGCTGAACTGGAATTGTAACCAACTGATACTAAATGTCTTCCTCTTAATGACTTCACCGTCATTAAGCCTTGCGCCCTGGCCTCCTGCTCCCAGATAGGTCCCACTAGCCCCTAGAGTGGTCCCATCCCAGAAGGATGCTGTCCTCTCACACTTTTCTCAGGGCTGTTTGGCTGGGCCTAGGAACTGAAGCCCCTGGGAAAGAGGGGGTGTAAAGGCCACTGACGGAGAAGTCAGGACAAGGACAGAGAGATCAGCCGGAGCCTCAGGGTTTGTTCTCGTTTGCTCTCCCCACAGGGCACCTCCTGGGCTCTGCAACATCCTGCTCTCGTCCACAGGATGCCTGGGACTTGCTATTCCTCCTCCTCATCTGACTCTGAGGAGCCGCAGGACTTACTTTTCCCCCTTGTCTGGGACAGGGTCCAGGGCCTCAGCCTACTGGCCTGAGGCTCTCCCCCTCCCCCCACCCCCTGGGTTTAATTTCCACCAAGCCTAATGCTCTCAAATCCTGGGCTGAGACGCCAGACCAGGGTACTGCCTGCAGAGCTCATTCATGTGCAGAAGCCGGCCTGTAACTAGTGGGAGGGGAAGGAGCCTCTAGGTCCCCGGTAGCTGTCCCCCCTGTAGGGGAGGAAAAATAACTTTCCTTGTACCCTTCTGAGTTCTTGGCTGAGACCCCTGTAGCAAAAGACAGATTAACAAGAGACAAACAGAAGCTTATTCGTATATACTTGTCTACAAGTGAGATACCCAGGGAAAATGAGTTAACTCTCCCAGGTGGCCTAACCCAACAGTTTAAATACCATCTTTGGCCAAGACAGGAAAGAAAGGTGAGGGTGGGGGAGGAAGCCATTTCTGGGAGGTTACTGCGAAAAGCAGGGTAAACAAGGGTAAGGTTTGTTATGCAGATTTAAGTTACTGCTTCTCCACTGAGTTTTAAGATCTCTGTCATTTACAGTGGGAATTCCCACTGAGGGAGACATGCTTGCAAATGGAGATTCCTTTATAAATGTAAATTTCTCTTTCAAAAAAGTAATTTCCACTGTTTTTCAGAGTTCCTCCTTTTGCTGCAGTTTCTCAAAATAATCAGCTCAACATAATCCTTCTGTCTAAGAGGTGTATTTTGAGGTGGCAAATTCTCCCGCCCTTCATCCCTCCTCAAACCTGGGCTCTCTGCCACCACTTCTAGGAGAAAAAAAAATGTTCTGGTCTAAAGTGAGATCAGTGGCTTCTCAGGTCACAGACCTCTGCTGGGCTATGCCCCAGGCACAAGCTGGTAACACCAGGTCCCCGAGCAGGACGGGGCGGGCTCCAGGGCCCGGCAGCCGCGTGGCATCCGCGCCTTTGCCTGGGTGCTGAACCACCACTAGGAGGTTTGCAGGGGGGGCCGTACTCAGGCCCATGGGGAAGTCCCCAGTATACAGTCCTGCTGGGTCTGGCTGAGGGAGGTGCCCTCCATGGCCAGCAGCCAGGATCAATCCCTCCTCTTTCAGACCTAGAACTCCTTTGAGGGGGAGAAAGTTCAGAGTCCTCATGGTGCGTGGGCTCCCCTCCTTGTTAGTACTAGCCCCAGCCCAGGGGAAGCAGGAACTGCCCCTCTCCACGGCCCCCTCCACCCTCCACTATATTCCTGGAGAAACACACAGCCACACCCGATAACTTACATACAGTCACTCCCAACACCGCACAAGCCAACTGCACACACCTCAGTAAACAACAAACACCCCCACCCGCACGCCCAGGCAGCCCTGACACACAAGCAGGAATTCCTCGGGCCTGAAAGCCGGCTGTGTTTCCAGTTGCCAGAGGAAACTCACACTGACCTTCTTCAAGGCTGACCACACAAGAAACCTGGACGGGGGGCCAGTCCGTGGGCGGACAGGATGCTATCCCCGCCTTCCCCTCCCCTTCCTCCCTAAGAAGGCCTCCTCCCGGCTTCCCTCCTTTCTAGCCACTCGCAGGCTGGATGCGGTGAATATGGCAGTGTGGGGCGCCCTCATGTGGGCGAGAGCGGCCCTGCAGCCCCGCCGCGAGGCTCCGAGGCTGCCCTCCTCCTCCTGCACCGGGGTCACCCTCCTCCCAGAGCCATGGGCCCCGGGGTCCCAGGATGTCATGGTTGTGCCACCGCCCACGCCCACTACTCCAAATGGCCTGCCTCCTAGCTACCTTCCCTCCTTCTTTCACCTCTGAATATTTTCTCACTGATACTTTAAAATGTAATATTTCATGCATTTAAAAGACATTTATCAAAATATTAGTTTTAAAACATCATATGGTTAACACCCATGAGCCCACCACCTGACAAGAAAGCTGAAGCAGCAGTAATAACTCGCATCTTCCTTTGTGTTCCTCTTCACCCCACTCCCTACTATATCCCTCAACAAGAGGTAACCACTGTTCCCAATTTCATGTTTTCTCTTGCCTTTTCTCCCCCAATTTTTCTCAATGTGGTAAAATGAACATAAATTTTACCATGTTAATCATTTTAAAGTGTACAGTTTAGTGGTATTAAATACTTTCATAATGTTGTAGAACCATTGCCACCATCCATCTCCACAACTCTTTTCATCTTTTAAAACTAAAACTCCACCCATTAACAGTAACTCTCCTTTCCCCACTTCCCCCAGACCCAGGCAATCCCAGTTCTACACTCTGTCTCCACGAATCTGACTACTCTAAGTATCTTATACAAGTGGAATCATGCAATTTTTATCCTTTTCTGACTGGCTTATTTCACTTAGTATAATGCCCTCAAGTTTTATCCATGTTGTAGCATGTGTCAGGATTCCCTTCCTTTTTAAGGCTGAGTAATATTCCATTGTGTACACAGTACATTTGCTTATCCATTCATCCATCAGTGGACACGGGCTGCTCCAGTATTTTAGCTACTGTGAATAATGCTGTTATCAACATGGGTATACAAATATCTCTTTGAGACCCTGTTATCAATTCTTTAGGGTGTATATCCAGAAGTGGGATTGTTGGATCATGTGGGAATTCTATTTTTAGTTTTTTGAGGGACCACCATATTGTTTTCCATAGTGGCTTTACCATTTAAAAATACTACCAATTGTGCACAAGGGTTCCAATTTTTCCACATCCTCACCAACACTTGTTGTTTTCTGGGTTTTTTTTTGATAATAGCCATTCTAATTGATGTGAAGTAGTATTTCATTGTAGTTTTGACTTACACTTCCCAAGTGATTAGTGATGTTGAGCATCTTTTGATGTGCTTACTGAATATTTGTATATCTTTAGAAAAGTGTCTATTCAAGTTCTTTGTCCATTTTTGATTCAGGTGGTTTGTTTTTTGGTTGTTGAATTTTAGTTTTCTATATATTCTGGATAGTAATCCCTTTGCAAATATGATTTGCAAATTTTTTTTTCATTCTGTGGGTTGTTTTTTTGCTTCATTGAGTGTCTTTTGGTGCACAAAATTTTAAAATTCTTTTGAAGTCCAATTTGCCTATTTTTTTCTTTTGTTACCCGCCTTTGGTGTCATATCCAAGAAATCACTGCTAAATCCAACACTGTGAAGCTTTTCTCCTGTTTTCTTTTAAGAGTTTTATTGTTTAATTCTTGCATTTAGGCCCCTGATACATTTTGAGGTAGTTTTTGTATATGGTGTTGAGTCCAACTTCATCCTTTTGTATGTGGCTCTCCAGTTTCCCAGCATCATTCACTGAAAAGATTGCCCTTTCCCTCATTAGATGATCTTGGCACTCCTGTTAAAAATTGTTGGACCATATATGTGAATTCTGGGCTCTCTATTCCATCGATCTGTATGTATGCCTTCATGTCAATACCATAGGGTTTTTTTTTAAGGGAGGAATTTTTGGGGGGAGGTTTTTTTTTTTTCAATGGAGGTACTGGGGACTGAACCCAGGACCTCGTGCATGCTAAGCATGTGTTCTTCCACTGTTATAATGCCCACCCCTCCCCACACACCACAGTTTTGATTGTTGTAGCTTTGTAGTAAGTTTCAAAATCAGGAAGTATGAATCCTCTAGTTTTGTTCTTTTTCAAGATTGTTTTGGCTATTCAAGATCCCTTGAGATTCCCCTATGTGAATTTTGGGATGGATCATTCTATTTCTGCAAAAACCATTATTGGGATTTTGATAGTGATTACACTAAATCTATACATTGCCTTGATTAGTATTGACATTTTAACAGTATTAGGTTTTCTAATCCATCAACATGGGATGTTTCCATTTATTTATGTCTTCTTTAATGTCTTTGAGCAATGTGTTGTAGTTCTCATTGTATAAATCTCTTACTTCCTTCGTTAATTCTTATTTTATTCTTTTTGGTGTTATTGTAAATCAAATTGTTTTTGTAATTTCCTTTCTAGACTGTTAAGTGTTAGTGCACAGAAATACAACTGATTTTTGTGTTGACTTTGTACCCTGCTAATCTGCTGGATTCATTTATTAGTTCCAATAGGATTTTTTTGGGTGTGGAATCTTTAGAGTTTTCTACATAGAAGATCATATCATCTGCAAACAGAGATAATTTTACTTCCTCCTTTCCACTTTGGATGCCTTTTATTTATTTTTCTTGCTTTATTGTTCTGGCTATAACCTCCAGTACTATGTTGAATAAAAGCGGTGAAAGCAGTCATCATTCCCTTGTTCCTGATCTTAGAGGAAAAGCAGTGTCTTTCACCATTGAGTATGGTGTTTACTGTGGATTTTTTATGTATACATTTTTTATGTTTGGGTAGTTTCCTTCTATTTCAGCTTCTTTTTTTTTTTTAAACGTGAAAGGGTATTAAATTTTGTCAAGTGCTTTTTCTTGCATAAATTGAGATAATCATGTGTTTTTCTTCTTACATTCTGTTAATGTGATATATTACACTGAATGATTTTTTTTTCCTATGTTGAACCAAGCTTGCATTCCAGGAGTAAATCTCACTTGGTCATATGGTATAATCACTTTAATATACAGCCAAATTTGGTTTGCTAGCATTTTGTTGAGGATTTTTGCACCAATGTACATAAGTGATATTAATCTGTAGTTTTCTTGCAGTGTTTTTGTCTGGCTTTAGTATCAGGGTAATGCTGGCCTCATAGAATAAATTAGAAAGTGTTCCCTACTCTTTAATCTTTTGGAAAAGTTTGAAAAGGACTGGTCTTAGTTCTTTTTTAAATGTTGGTAGAATTCACCACTGAAGCCATCACATCCAGGGCTTTTTCTTGTCAGATTTTTGATCACTGATTCCATTACACAGTGATTCTATTATACAGCTAGCTATAGGTCTACTCGGATTGTCTATTTCTTCATGACTTAGTCTTGGTCAATTTTGTGTTTCTAGGAATTTTGTGTTTCTAGGAATTCCATTTCATCTAGATTATTCAATTTGTTCATATACAATTATTCTTAATACTATTTTACAATCAGTTTGAGTCTTCTTTTTCTCAGTCAATCTAGCTAAAAATTTGTCAATTTTGTTGATCTTTTCAAAGAACCAGCTTTCGGTTTCATTGATTTTTTTCCCTACAGTTTTTCTATTCTGTATTTCACTGATCTCTGCTCTAATCTTTGTTATTTCCTTCCTTCTCCTAGCTTTGGCTTTAGTTTATTCTCCTTTTTGTAGTTCTTTAAGGTGTAAAGTTAGGCTGTTGATTTCAGATTGTTCTTTTTTTTTTAATGTAGGCATTTATAGCTGTAAATTCCCTTTAGTACCACTTTTGCTCATCTCATTGTTTTTTAATGTTGTATTTTCATTTTTATTCATCTCTAAGTATTTTCTAATTTCCCTTGTGATTTCTTCTTTGATTCACTGGTGTTTTAAATTGTGTTGGTTAATTTCTACCATTTGGTAAATTTTCCAATTTTCCTTATGTTATTGATTTCTAAGTTTATCACACTATGACTGGAAAAGATAGTTTGCATAACATCTATCCTTTAAAATCTACTGAAACTTAATTTGTGGCCTAGCAAATGGTCTCTCCTGGAAAATGTTCATGTGTATGTGAGAAGAAGATGTATGCTGTTGTTGTTTGGTAGTGTTCTGCATGTCTGTTAGATCTAGTTATATTATTGTGATGCCCAAGTCCTCTTCCCCTAATTATCTTCTGTCCAGTTGTTTTATCCATTGTTGAGAGTGGGATACTGACGTGTCCAACTATAATGGTCCAACTTTCTATTTCTCCCTTAAATTCTGTTAGTTTTGGCTTTATAAAATTTTGCTGGTCTATTATTAGGTATGTGAAAGTTTGTAATTATATATTCTTGCTGTATTGAAACTTTTATTAATATATAATGCATTTCTTGTATCTTATAACCTTTCTCGATTTAAAGTCTATTTTGTCTGCTAATTGTATAGCCACTCCTGCTGTCTTTTGGTTACTATTTGCATGGAATATCTTTTTCCATCCTTTCACTTTTAATATATGTGTGTCTTTGGCTCTAGAATGAGTCTCTTAAAGATAGCATATAGTTGGACTATGTGTTTTATCCATTCTGCCAATCTGTGTCTTTGACTGGAGAGTTTAATCCATTTACATTTAAAGTAATTACTGATAAGGAGGGTCTTACTTCTGTCATTTTGCTATTGGTTTTCCATATCCCTTATGACTTTCCCCCCTTCATTTCCTGCATTACTCTTTTCTCTTGTGTTTAGTTGATTTTTTTTGTAGGGAAATATTTAAAGTCTCTTCTCATTTCCTTTTGTGTATATTCCATAGCTATTTTCTTTGTCGTTACTATGGGGGTTACATTTAACATCATAAAGTTATAGTACTCTGATTTGAATTATTACCAGCTTTTAACTTCAAAAATATACAAAAACTCTGCTCCTTTATGGCAGCATCATACCCCTTTTGGTTGTTGATGTCACAAATTACATCCTTATGCACTGTATGCTGCAAAACATAAATTAACAATACATTTAAATGCATTAGTCTGTTCAATTATGTAGGAAACAAGATTTGGAGTTACAACCAAAATAAAAATAATACTAATATAACAGCTTTTTTTTTTCTTTAAATGTATAAGTCTCTTAAATCATGTGGGAAACAAAAAGTATAGTTGCAAACCATTGTTACAATATACTACCCTTTATAATTGCCCGTATACTTTTCCTTTACTGCAATCATTATTTCTCCATATGGCTTCAAGTTACTGTGTAGCATCCTTTCATTTCACTTTGTAGTTAATTTCCTTAATCAATGTTTTATAGTTCTCCATGGGCCCTATTCTTGATTTAAACTTTAGACACTGAGGCTCAGAGCAATCCACACAATAAATGACAAATTGGGCAGTCCCAGTAACTGCTTTCTTTATCTTTCCCTTCATGTATTGTAAGCATCTGCACTTAATGAGAAATAAAGGTAAAAATGATGTAGCCGCTCCCTTACCTCTCTGGATGGGCATGGAACTTCACCAGGCTGCTACAGAGCTGTGTCTCTGCTTGTAAGGCCTCATTGAGCTGACTCCATTCATCTACCAGACCTTCCAGCATCAGCAGCAACTGAGGGGAAAAAAACAAAAGCAATGCACAAATGGAGACTTGAGATGTGAAGTCACAGATAATCCTGAGAAAGAGACCCAGACAATGTATTCGCATGTACTATGACTCAAAAAGCTCATGATCTTATCACTGACTTAACTTTTCTATAGTGTGTTACAGTTTTCAAATCAATGTCATGTTATCTTTTTTTTTATCCTTAAAGCTCTATAAGGGACAATTCAAAATGGGAGCAAGAAGAAAGAGGAGAGAAAAGCCAGAAGCACAGGAAAGAGAGAGGAGTAGAAGAGAAAGCAAGGGAGGGCACGAGGGAAACATACACTAGGACTTATGAGCACTCTTCATTCATTCAAAAAATAGTTATTGAGCACCTTCTATGTGCTAGACTCTGTTCTAGGGATAAGCTGACTATCTTATATTAAGCTTACTATCTATATTATATAGATAAGCGGAAACAAAAGACATTCATCAGTCACAGACACGTGTCACTGTGAGCTATAACAGCGCTCTTAAGAAGATGAGCTATGATAGTGCACAACCAGCAGAGATGTGTTTAAGTGAACTAGCAGAGCAAAAAGCCAGACTGGAGTGAGGTGAGTAGTCAGTGAGAGAGACGATACTGGAGACACGGTGGGGGTGGAATACAGGCTAACATATTTTTAGCAAGTTTGGCACTGAAGAAAGGTCAGATATGGGGCGGTAGCTATGAAGGAGCTACGCATGTTAGAAAGGAGCATGTGTGGCTGCTACGGACCAAGGCAGGGAACTTGAGGGCACAGATTGTCTGTGAAATTCCACCAACAGATACCTTCATAAGTAACTAGATTGACAGATTTTTCCATTGTTTATTTCACAGTAAAAATAAGGTTTGTGCTCCAATAACTTACTTCTTGTCTTCGGTTTCTGGAAGCTTCCTGACCCTGTGATTCTACTGAAGCAACTTTTTCACGAAGAAGTAAGACTTCTTGGGTCAGGCGTTCCATAGCTGGTATGTGTTCAGGATCAACCAGCTGCATCTGCAGGTCCTAAAAGTCAAAAAACAAGTACAGTAAGAAAAATGCTATTCAGTAGAGGAACAAAGGAACAAATGCTCATGAAACAGTCTGCTCTACTTTTAAATGGGATATTAACAAGCCATATGAAGGTAATGGTATCTTCTTTATGACATCTTAGCAAGTCTGATGTAAGTCAAAGAGAATATGGTAACATCAAGAGGCTCAGACTAACAGCGCATCAAGAAAATAAGCACTGGCCACGGGACTCAACGTATCCACACGTTGTCTGAAGATGCCCTACAGGTAGTCTGAGCTGTAATCATGCCCAGTGGTCTTTAAAAAACTCTGAAAGACCTTGATGAGGTCTTCTCTAATCTGCATGTTCCTGGTCAGGGACTCCATATCAGAGGCCTGCACCTGCATCTCTACTTCCTGCACAGCCATCTTGGACTGGAGGGCAGAAAGTTCCAACTGTGGAGAAAAGAAATCCTGGAGTCAGGATTTCCTAGGTAGAGGAAACAGTATGTGCCACAGTTATGTTTTAACACTGAAGCAAATGTTTTTTCGTATCATGTCACTATCAGCCAGTAATGCAAATAAAAGCCAGAACATGAACAGTGTGCTACTGGGTCGGATCAATAAGCCACACTCTGTGGTACCCAAGGCTGCTTTACGGGAAGCTGTAACGTGGTTTTAATGATGCCCTCCACTTTTGTTAGCACTATAAAACATACCAAATTTGTTTAATTAATGAATGTGTTATACTTCCTAAAAAATGAGTTACCATGAGCAGATGCACGAATAGAAGCTTTTCTTTATTTAAGTATTTTGGCTAATAGATGAAAAAATGATAGAACAGCTCCATTTTTGCAGCCTTAATGAATTAATGGCTACAGGCTTCAACCGTCAATAGTTAACATCACAAGAGATCACCAAACACCACACCCCTCCTGGTGGAAGAACACACCACCACCAATGAAGAAGTCCTATCAAAAGTTAACACTGTAGGCCCTAAATTTTCTATGTTGTATCTTCCATCTCTCCTCAACAGAGAATGACAACCAAATGATTTTATTATGACAAATTTTACTAAACATCATGATAATTACCACAGTTGCCAGTATTTACTAGGGGCTTACTGTGTTCCAGGTCCTAATAAACACTCTGCATAGATTTAACCCTTTTAACAAACCTAGTGACCTGCTCCTGCCTACCTCTCCAACTTCAATACCTATAGCATTTTCCACCTCATTCATGAATCTCTAGGCACGCCAGACTTTTCCTGTTAGGAATACCAGACTTTGTTTTGACTCAGAGCCTTTGCACCTACTATTCCCTCTGCCTGAAATATCTTCCCCAGCGTTGCCTCCTTTCCATCCCCCAGCCTCAGCTTACACGTCATCTGCTCAGAGAAGCCTTCTCTGGCCACTCTATCTCCCATAGGCCTCATCCAAGTTACTTTCTAATATTTCCCTCATATTGCTTATGCCAATCAGTAATTGTATTATGTATCTTCTGCTACCTCCCCACTAGAAATTAATTACATGGGGTCAAGGACTCTATTGATCTGGTTCCCTACTCATCCCCAACACTTGCCCTGTCTTAGAGAAGGTCCTCACAGGGACGGACGATCATACGGTTACAAGACATGCGGTGTGAAGCCCCTTGCAGTGTAAGGTTCAGCGGGCGCAGCCTCTGTCCTTTACCTCCGAGACCCAGGGTGACCCGACAAGGCGGGGGGGTTGGCGCTGTCTCTGTGCCCTTGGCGTCCAGGCCAGGGTCTCCGACGTCCGGCGACGGGCACAGTCGCCCTGGTCCAGCAGGGACGCCCCGGGCTGGGTGCCCCCCACCTGCTCGCTGCCTGGACCCCGCAGCGCAGAGAAGCCCGATTCCGGGACCCCGACTCCTGAGGAGGAGCCGGCAAAACGCGGGGGACGCAGCTTTGAGGCGGCGGCGGGAGGCAGAGGGACTCTGGCCGCGCAGCTTCCTTCCTGGGACCCAGACCGTCGATCCGAGAGCAGCAGAAAGCGGGAGGCGGGAGCGGGAGAGCACGTCCACTCAGCGCGCATCTGAGGCTCCAGTTCGCTTTCAGGCAGCCGCGGAGTGGGGGCTGTGGGATAAGAGTCAGTTGGGCGCGGCCTAAAGGGAAGGTCCCACCGAGACT